TGGTTGAGTAAGGTAACTTGGGCTCTGGTCGACCAAAGGAAGGCCATCAAACAAAAGTTAATCGGTGCAAGATCAGAGAGACTTAAGCAGAGATGGCAAGATGAATACCGACAGAAGGATAGGGAAATTAAAAGACAGGTTAGGGTGGATAAAAGAAGATGGACTGAAGAGATTGCAGAAGAAGCTGAAAATGCAGCCAAACAACAACATATGAAGACACTGTATACCCTGACGATGATGTTAGTCAGATCCACAATAAGAGATGAAATGAGTACGTGAGCGATCTTCACAGTAACGAACATTACTTAAGCAGTAGTAGTGTTCGTTACTGCAGTTCACACATATATGATTTTCATATATTCACCTATAAAAGATGAGCTTCGTTTCATGCTTTGGTTTGCTTCGTGTTGATCCGCGTCACTCGATGGCATTTAAAATTTCGAAGAGATGAGATGATTTATTTGAGCGTCGTAAAACTTCCACAAATAGCAATCAGAATAACGGAAAATCATGCATTACAACAAGAAGTCGTGACAATTTTTCGGGAAAACGCGAGAGACTTCCAAGTAGACTGGCACGAGCGGTTAGCGCAGTGAGGCCTGGGAGGAAAGTCCCGCGTTGTTTCGGATACTCAATAGGAAATTGTTCTAGTCTGCGACGAAATCGAAACTTGATAGAGATTTGCGACAGGAAACAATAACATTACATTAGTCCGTATGGTATTCTCGAACACCATGATCGTGAATCATAAGGACATTGTTTTAGGCTTGGAAATGTAAGACATCCTAATCATTTTACAAGAAGTAAATATATTGGTTATCTCTTTAAGCTGGCCAATTTAGATATCACCCCAGTTGATAAAACTAGTCGATCTTGGAATCATCAAATAATTGCGACTGTAATTAAAACAATTAATTAAGCCACCACGCAAGTGGCGAGGAGGACAAGAGGTGTATGAATTAATGCAAGAAAATGTGGGAGCACCTTTTATCTCCACAATGTCTGTACCATAAGGCAAGGATTCCATTTCCTTTTCAGAATCATCTCTGTTTGCGAATGAAGACCCGCTCCCCGCCTGTCGTTCGTTTCTCTTCTGATGTCGTCGTCTTTCAGTTTCAGTCGTGATTGAATCACGCGAATCATCCTTACCTAGTGATATAAAACAACATGGTAAGCTAGAAACGTTGTTGAAAGATACTGCATGGCTTGTAAAATGAATGTTAGATGTATAACTAAAATAAGTAAATAAAAATGAACATAAGCCCTGTTGAAATGATTTTGAAAGCCTAAGTGATAGCACACCAATAACTCAGGAGTAGAATTGGCAGAGAAAAAATCTCAAGGAGAAGAACCTTCACAATCACCTGATGTAATTTGCTCTATATCTCCATGTTCTGAATCATGCATTTCGCTACCATTCGCGTTAGTGTCAGCGGGTGATGGCAACGATGATGCTTCATCATCTGCTTCGTAGCCACTCTGGTTCACATCATCAACTGGAGAACTTACCGCTTGGGCATCATTAGTACCTGGCGTGAACAAGTAAGACAACAGCTATGGTCTGCTATAACTTACTTCTTGCTACACTTATACCGTGGAACCCGCCAGCTAATAAAAAAAAATTTAAAAGTTCCTGACAATAGGGTTACATCTATTTCATTATCTCCTGGTTTGGGACGGGCCAGGCACAAGTATAGATATCCCAAAACCCGTAGTGAAAAATAAAAATAAAAAATAGAAATAAAAATAAAAAATAAAAGGAGCTGTTGATGATCTGTGTAGCAGTATTCACTGTTTGCAATAAACTTCGACTCCACACGATATGCTGTGCTTCGTACCTGTATCTTATGATCAAAGTGAAAACTTACTGGGTAGACAAATTTTCTTGTCCACGGCATACTTAAGCTCTAACCAATCAATGGTTTCATAGTTGTCTCCTCTGCAAACTTCCTTTGATAGCCTGTATGAGTAAGAAAATGATGTAACGTAGACAGTCCTGCTGAGCGCTACTGCAAATTCTTACGACTTCAGTAACATTTCAGAAACATTGCATCACAAATTAGCCTACAACTTTACCTTGTTTTTACAAAAAGTAGAATCTAAGCAGGAGACTGAAAGGCTCATTACCTCAAGAAACAAGAAGCTTCAAGATTTTAAGAAAAGATGAGAACCATTATNGAGTGACCATGTCACGATTGCTATTAGTTTTGTAACTAACTGGTTGAGAGAGTAGCGGGAGTCTTCTAAACCAATCAAAGCGCATTGAAGGGAAACCAGCGTTACGTCTTTCGACACTCTATATAAAAGCACTCTTACTTTACAACGCATTTGCACTAGAGATCTGATAGAGAACTCTAGTGTAAGGCGAAGAGGAAGAAGGCGAGAGGTTACATTGAGTAGTTTGGTGAATCTCAGAATGTTGCGAAGAGGCAATGGAATACACTTCTATTCAATATGAGAAGACCAAGCCATCAATGAATTCCATAAGAAAAGCAGTTAATGTCGTAAAGAAGTCACCCCTAATGTTTTGTTTGTCCACATACGGTATGTAATTGAGAAGATTTCTCCAGACGGAAGAGACTCGTTTAGCCGAGGTTAAAAAACTATCAAAACTTTTTTCCGATGATCCTAAAAGATGAATTTGTTCCGAACCATTACGATATTTAATTTAGTAATTCCAGTTGGCCAAATATCATCACAGGAGTTCACGAATTATGGTTTCACACACTGTAAAAATTGGGTTCCATTGCATTTTATGAATCCTTAATCAAGGTCACTGAAGTGATTCAACACTTTAAGGTAGCCTGCCAGCCTTTGTGGTGGAGCAATGGGTCTTTATAAATAAAATACATACCTTCGTGAAGGGCAATCAAGGGTTATTATGATACCATAACGTTTTCAGTACCATTTCTTACCTGCCACCCTAGACCTTAGCAGATGTGACGCACATTCAAATACTACGGTATCCATTACTCATAACAAAAATTTCAATTGAAGTCATGATAGTAAAATTACAAATTCAAGTTGTGCATGATACTTTACAGTAATACATACCAACACCTGTTCCTCTTGCACCACGAGGGGTTTCTTGTTGAACACCACTGCTTCTCGATACAGCAAGACTATTAACCGTCTTGTACATTGCATCTTGGCTCATCCTAACTTTCGAGATCTCTTCTAGTATGACTCTTTCAGAGTTCTTGGTAAATTCAAAGTAGGTAAAACCAATTGATTTTCCATTTGAACCTTTATACTCCAGAGTTACCTTCACTTTTCCGGCCAAAGAAGAAANGATTTAATATCCAAAATAGATTAACTATCCAAAAGAATAGGCCATTTCCGAATTACTTTTGGCCTCTTTTTTAAAACGAGGCCTGGTGCTCAACCATTCTTATGAAATGAGTTTAATTTGCATGTGAATGAAAACTTATAATCATATGAAAGGATGAACACCAGGACTCGTTTTGAAAATGAGGTCAAGGGTAATTCGGAAATGGGCTATTATCATCAATTATAGCTAGTGATACTCTGTCGTTTAATCAATGAATGAATGAAAACTTTGTTCAAGTGTCAATGTAGTTAGCTTTACAGGTGTAAAAACTAATTGGGGACACTACTTAGTTACTTAATCTAAAGAAGTTTGAAGATAAATTTATTAGTTATTTACAAATTTTGAGTAAAATTTGAAATGTAAAACTGGAGCCTTAGTTACATACTAATAATACTTTTAGATGGCTAAAAAAAAATTATAATCATTGTCTGGTGATGTTTAGTGTTAAAGGTGGGGGTCAGAAACAAAATTTGGATGAAGCAATCCTTCTTTGACTTTGACACAGCTAAGTTTTTTTCTCCTCTACGGATATTAGAGCCTATACTGCTTGGCATTTACAGTACTGTAAAAGTAGTTTGGAAAACATAGAATGCCGGAATTCGGAACCGGAACCGGAATACTCGGAATACCCGGAATTCCCGGAATGACCAAAAAATAATAAATTTAAAAAAATAAAAGTAAATAAATAAATAAATAAATAAGAATATTGAAGATTAAAAATTAATGGTAAGTTCACAACCTAATCAAATAATTTAACACGAAATTTTTCGCTGAGGGTCCCAAAAAAAAACACTTACCGGCACTGTTCATGGAGATGCACGTATTAGAATTAAAAAAGTCAGCGTCAGGCCAGTAGTCCATACAGCCTAAGCGATAAAATATTTCTACTCTTCCTTACGCCTGGATGGGATGTTAGTCCATCACATGGTTACTCCCCATTTTAAATTCGCCTCCACCCATTTACACACCTGTATGATGTCTCGGGAGCCATGACCGTTAGGCCGCCACGCTTTTCCAGCCGGAACCATTGCAGAAGATTAAACAAATGCAATATTTCCACTCAGTTTAATAGCTGAATTGTAAAAAGCTCCAAACTATTAAAAATTAATACTCTACCTTAAATAATTATTAGCCACACACTGAGAGCTATCAAAGCAGGAACCATTAAGACCAGCCGTCTACAGTTAAAATTGAGAGATCGTCAGTTACTCGACACCTTTTCGCGTTTATTATATATACCTTGAATATATACCTTTAAATATAAACCTTGTTCAAAAGATTCCATCAGTACAATGGTTCCGGCTGGAAAAGCGTGGCGGCCTAATGGTCATGGCGCCTTAGACATCCAACAGGTGTGTTACTGTGTGGAGGCGAATTTAAAACGAGGAGTAACCATGTGATGGACTAGCATCCCATCCAGGGTGAAGGGAGAGTAGAAATATTTCGTCGCTTAGGCTGTATGGGCTACTGGCCTGACGCAGACCTTTTTCTAATTCTAAAGCGTGCATCTCCGTGAACCGGTAAGTGTTTTTTTCGGGGATCCTCAGAGAAATATTCCGTATTAAACTTTTGTGAACTTACCATTAATTTTTAATCATCAATATTCTTATTTATTTATTTATTTACTTTTATTTTCTTAAAATTTATCATTTTTCGGTAATTCCGGGAATTCCGAGTATTCCGATTCCGGTTCCGAATTCCGGCATTCTATATTTTCCAAACTACCTACTATAAAACCTCGCTGACACGAACTCCCATGGGAATCGAAAAATGGTTCAAGTTCCCGGGATTTGTACTGCATTTCAATTCCCCTTTGAATAAATAAAAAGGATTCACATCTTTACCATTCTTTCCCATAAACAGTCTTTCGGTACATTTAATTTGTTTCATAAGAACGTTAAGTTTGGGAACTTAGCTTAACTTGTTACGTTTTAATTAATGTTAGCATGCAACTGAAGACAGGGACGTGTCAATCAGCTATGTTCTGACATTTTTACGTTTATAAAGCTACGGCATCATTTAAAGTTTGAGTTATTAGGAGCAATTTGAGCCAAAGGGAAGTAACATTAGTTAAAGGAGAGTTTGAGTTAAACAAATTCGAGTTTGTTGATAGTAAATGGGGCCAAATCCAGGGGAAATCAGCCATATCTTGTCCAAGTTAGCAGGAGGTTCAACTATATTTGATATCTACTTACTAATATTTCCAGTCAGGGCTGGACCATCTCTTTTTAAAGGCACAGTGGCAATGTTCGCGAAGTTGGCCTGAAAGCTCAATCCCTTGTAGTTTCTAGGCAATTTCTGGCCCAAAAGGATGCAGAAGCGTATATCTGTCTGTCAGTATTCAAAAGAAAGTGTTCCTTTATCGTTTATGTCCAGACACGAAAGAGAACCGGAGGTCAGTGAAATGGTGGATATTAAAGGGAAGAATTCACGGTTATGCACATGAGTGAGACACGACGCAGCTTTATTGTTTATTAGCCAATCAGAGTATAAAGGTAAAGACAGACCGGATAGGACTCCCTATGTGGCTTTTGTGGTCGCGTCGCATTATCGCCTTTCAGTTGTATTTTTGGTCTCACAATAGTGTCGTCAGGGATTTTCCCTTTTTGTAAGAGATGATCGGATGTTACATAAAAATTGTTTTCAGCAAGGGCTGATTGTATATCTAGGCGGTTGGGAGTTTGTGAAAGCCATTTCTTAGTCATGTCATTGATGTGTTTTCCCCGACGCATTTGGTCAATATCTCAGTTACCCTTTCCTGCATATTTTTTCTGTCGGTGCTTTGAAAAGTTTGTAGTGAATTCTGTTGTCGAGTTGCAATGTGGCCCCTTCTTTTTTTTTTTTTTTTTTTCTGTCTTATTCATGACTGCTGTTGTGTTGCTTTTACGAGGGTTTAAAGCAGAGTTGTTTTTCAACTCTTTTGGCACCGTGACCTTAAGGTGTTACAAATTGTTTTATGGCCTGGGCACAGTAATCTCTGCAAGTTAGCTCTCAAGGGCAATAATAGGCTGAACCGGTGGCATCCAGTCTGATATGAAATGGATTTGGTTCTTTGTTTTGTCCGTAAAAGGTGTAATGGAGGCGCATTCATCTTACGAACAGATCTCGCAAAAGTTGGCCTGATTTGACATTCGTATGTCACGGGTGTTGGGATGAATTTGAGACCCTTTGATAACACGCTGATTTAGCTGTCAGAAATTTGATAATGCGACACGACCACAATAGCCAGACAGGGAGTCCGTACCGGTCTGTCTTTTCCTTTATTCTCAAAATTTTTTGCGAAATCTTAAAATATAGTTCGATGATTGAACAACTCAACAAGCACTGTCGGGTCGAAGGATAGCCACTCCTTACAGCCAATTCAGGTCGATTGCTCGAGCGATGTCACATATTAAATTAGTGTTGACCCAATCCGAAGGCTGTCACGTCACGCATGCGTCGACCCGACGAATTACATCCGAGGGCTATCACGCCACGCTTGCTCTTAACCGTGATTTCGCTTCGTGGTTCGGTAAACATCCACCACTATTAACCTTACCTTAGCTTTAAATTTGTGAATAATTATCAAATATTCCCTAAACTCGATCAAAGACTCCACACAAGGCTGAATAGCACAACATATACAAGACAACCGGCAACAAACAGGTCTACATTCTTAGCAAATTAAATATGCCATTGCAGGCAAAACTCTGAGCTCAAAGCCCTTAGTACTACAATTAATTTAATAAGAGGCAGTCAACGAATGCATGACTACTATACTTTTGGAGAATATGGCAACACAAAAAGCAATGCTACATGAAATGAAGAGAGGTTCATACACAGCTCTTATAGAAGCCAAAATTGTTACAAAAAGAGGGCATAGTTAAAGCAGAATTTGTAAAATGGACAATTGACTGGTCCGGGGACAACGCAAGATATTAACCAGAATACCCGTGGCATTTAATGTGCATTGATTGTAAGCGGATACGATACTTCAACAACTGTTTGAACAAACTCTGCGCTTTTACGCCCTGCATATTTGGTGGAATGGAAAACCAACTCCATTGAATGACTACATGGAAAAAGATTTTCAACATACCAAGAAATAAAGCAACCTGGCAGAGTACAACGCACATTATGTAAGAACATTTGACGAGGTAGCTTTTGCGTTCCCATCGATGAAAAGTCGAAAAGCAGAGGCGATACCCTGAACAGAAATCGAACTGCACTCCACAAAAACCAAAAAGGAATGCGAATAAAATGGATAAGATTCGTTCATCGATAGATAGCGTTGGAACTGAACCAAATTACACGAGTCAAGAAAAGTCACGAGAGAGGTTACGCGAGTCTAACAATAGTCTGTCATTTTGAAAATCGTGAGGGGTTTGGGGGAAGGTTTAAGGACTTATACGACAGCATAACATAATGACATTACCGGCCAACAATTTCCTAAAAGGAAGGCAGTAGCAACAAAATTTCTTACCTCAGTACATCCTTGCGACGGAATGATTTCTTTGACCACTGCAACAATTTAGAACATAAAGTAAATCTACATAACAATTTGCTTATCATCTGCATAGTTGTAGTAATGAACAAGGGGAAAACTGGCATCTTGTCTGTTTGTTTGGAATTAAAACTTCACGCAAAAATACTGTAAGAAATTGTAATCAAGAAAAACATGCAGTCAGATCGACAAAGACCTTTTGTTAATTTTAAAACTTTTACTAAGTTGCTTGTTCTGTCTTAATTGCTAAAGGGCGAGGAATTATTAGTAAGCAGAACCCATTAAATTTAAGTGAGGGATTGAATTATAAAGAAAACATCAACGAACATGGCCCAAGCGCCATACGAGACACTCCTTAACAACCTGAGTAGCTCCATCTTGCTCGGGCCGCACATGGGAATATTGCCAGTACAGCCCTCGCACTCTGTTAGATAGAGATAATCATAATAAAATATACTTTTATCACCAATCCATTAATTT